CTTCCCAAACCTTTATTAGGAAAATGGAAGGCAAGAATGCTTGGGCAAGCAGCCCCCTCCCCAATTCTTACTGAAAGGACCCAGTGGCTGAGGCCAAATCACCCCCCACCCCCACCCCAAGAGATGCTTACCCCTCTAGTAGGCAGGAAATGTAAATTAAAACAATAAGGATCGAGTCCTTTTTCACAGATCAAATTGACAAAAATAAACCTCTGATAAGATCAAATGTCGGTTAGGATGTGGGGATGTGGGGAGTTGCTACTCTCATGAACTGTCGGTGGGAGGATAATGGTCTTACTACCCTGGAAGGCAATTCAGCAAGAAATTTTCACGTGGCTGCATTTTACCCTGCAACCTCCAGATCCCACTGCAACCTCCAGATCCCACTGCAACCTCCAGATCCCACTGGGGGGGAGGGGGAGTGGGAAGTGGATGGGGAGAATCTTACACATTCCCAGAAGCATCTGCATAGGGCTTTACATGGACTAGCAATAAAAACACAAGAAAAACTAAATGGTACAAACCTGATTACCCAACAATCAGGGGCACAAACTATGGAGCACCCATTCAATGGGATACAATCTAGGATTTTACTAGGTAGGTAAGTGGAGGATCTTAAAGTATCAGTATGGAAAGTTTTCCAAGACGTTTTAGACAGGGATAAGTTATGTGTGTGTGGCGCTACACCGCAAAGTTTGTTAGAACCACAAGGTCAGCAGTTCAAACTTGCCAGCTGTTCCTCAGAAACCCTATACAGAGTTGCTATGGGTCGGAACCGACTCGACGGCATTTAACAAGTCATGTTACTTTGTGGAAATTGCAATCAATGAGGTGAAACAAAATGTGTATGAATTGTTGAATGGAAAACTGATCTGCTCTGGAACGCTTCACCCAACTTACAAAAATAAAAGACTATAGACATTGTAAAGCCAAATGAGAAACATACATACCGTATTTTTGTTAAGTGCCATGCCATTGCATGTAGTGCAGAGTATATAAAGAAAAAAAAACACCCAATATATTTATATTAAAAAGTATGCAAGTATTGACATGCATTTATTAAGGACTGCAAAGAAACACACCAAAGCCAATTGATAGCTGTTACTTCTATAAAGGAATTAGGATGAGAAAGTGTCAAAAGAACTTAGTTTTATGTTGTTAAATGCTGTGCAGTTGGTTCTTACTCATAACCACCTTGTGTAGTGTTTATATTTTGTTTTAAGGATATATTCATATATTCCTTAGAGAATACACAGAGCTCTCACTGTACCAAAAGGAAACACACTATGTTCAGCCACCAAACACCAACAAAGCCTACCTGGTCCTCTCATGTTCCTTCCCCGTTATCTGCCCCCAGGATCTTGGCACCTTAAATTCTCACCTCCCCCAGTTCATTAGTAAGGGATTTCTTGTTATTAAGTGCCATCAAGTAGGTTCTGACTCATAGAGACCCTGTACAAGGTTTACAAGGAGTGGCTGGTCAATTTGAACTGCCAACCTTGCTATTCAAACTGACCTTGAGGTTAAGTGCTTATCTTATGGCACCATACCAGGACTCCAGCAAAAAGTTAGAGAAGCAGAAAGGGGGCTCTCTAGCCACAGTCTCTGCCCCATAAGGATATTAAGTAACCATTCTACCCTCTGTTGATGGTGTCTCTGTTGCCCATTGAGATGGAATTGTGAAGTGTGGACACAGAAGAGAGGCTGGGTGTAGCTTCAGTGCAGGCAGGAAAATGGTAGGGAATTCTAATTCTGTTGAGTTCACCATTTAATTTTGGAAGGCTTGTCCTCTTTCCCACCTACAACCTCCTTCCCATTGCCTGAAGCCTGTTTTCTCTTCCTTAGATCTGGTAGCCTAGTGGTTGCAAGCCGGGCTGATAAACTCAAGATCAGCAGTTCGAAACTACCAACTATTTCGGCTCCCATAAAGATTTACAGCCTCAGAAACCCTATACAGGGTCAATATGAGTCACAACTGACTCATTTAAGATTAAATGAATGGAATTGAGTTCCAAGTATAGGCTTCCTCTTCCTATAAGGATTACAGAATGCTATTGATCTCTTCCTTGCCCTCTATGCAGGCATCCACCAAAACTTCCTATGTGTTACCCCAGGATCCACCAGGTGGCCAACAGGTCTCTCTTGGCCCCTCAGGCTCTGCACCCAGAGTTGACGTAGACCACTGTCTGATTAATCTGAATTCTCCCCCAGTGCCTAGTTTAGTGCTGGCCACCAGTAAGTGTTCCATTTTCCTCAAGTAGCCTTAGGGTCAACCCTGGGGCTTCCCAACAACAGTGTCAGTGACATAGAGAACAACTGACCTTTCTTGAGGGACAGGTGCCCACCACATGCTCCAGGGCACGGAATCCTCACAAGGTCAGTTGGCAGGACTGGGGGCTGGTTCAACACCTTCACATCTGCTTCTTACCCACACTCAACCCTCCAGTACCCTACTAGACCTTCTTGTTCCTCCCCGCCCCACCACTGAGCGCACAGACACCAACCTCTTCCACCTAAGGGAGATCCCACCAATCTGTCCACGACCCTCACAAACAGGCACCTGACTGGGTCCCTCACTGAGTGGTAACAGACAGTGCCTATCTGATGCCACACAGTGCCCTCAGTTCAGTGAATGCTCAATGAATGAATGAATCCCAGCAGGACGAGGATGGGGTGAGTCCCTGTCGTCTCTTGTGCCCACATGCATCCCAGGTTTTATGGGGCTCAAGGTACATGGTGGAAAGGAGACAGCTCTGGGTCTCTGGAGTCCACCCCTGCCCTGGATCCAGTCACCCCCTTACCTGTGGGAAGGCTCGGATTGCCCCTAGGAGCAGCAGCAGTCCCAGCGCTGCGCAGAAGGCGCGCATCCTGGCGGCCCTGGCTGAGGACTGAGCTCGCAGCCCGCACTACTCAGGGAGACTGGAAAGCGCACTGCGCCCACGTGCGGTCTCCACAGCTTGGATCCGAGAACCTCTCTGCACCACACTCACGATGTGAAGTTACTTCAAAAGTGACTGCTTCTTCCCCAATGGTTTGGCCTCAACTCGTCCCTCCCCCACCACCCCAGGCTCACTGGGTACCCAGAGCGGTTTCCAGGAACACTGCTAAAAGCAAATAAGAAAAAAAAAAAAAAAAAATGAGGGAGGGGGTGGGGGAGAACAAACACGTGCAGAGATGACTATCAGAGGACAGGCTCAGGTTGTGCTTTGAATGGCCCGCCCCGGATTTGACAAATGAGTCGCCCTTGCCCTGACTGGGCAGAGGGAGGTGGGGAACTCAAAGGGGAGTAGGAGACCCCAGTGGATTCCAGGGACCCAACTCCCACCCCAAGGAGGGGGAAGGTCTGAGAAGGTTCCTGCTCCCAACCTTCTGATCAACCTAACCTGACCTATTTGGAAGAGACGATTGGAGTCCCAAGATTATCAAAGGAATACTCAGTTACCTGTTTACCCTAGTCATAAATATTTGCTGTAAAATACTTATGAATAGGGTGGATGGATGAATGGATAATAGATGGATGCATAGGTAGATGAATAAGTGGAGGAATGGATGGGTGGATGGACTGACAGTGAAAAGATGGACAGAGAATAGAATATCTGGTTATCAATCCATAGGTGTTTTCCTGCTCTTAAGAATTTTCAGGGTACAAGAGAGGGTTGGCATTTTAAAAAAAAAATTTGCTGAGAGTGCTTGGTTTAGAGGATTAGGGTCGTGGTTTCATGGGACATTCCAATTAATTGGCCTAAAAACATGTTTAGTGCTTCTGTTCTACATCTTTGCTCATCATGTAGTATCTGGAGTCTTAAAAGCTTGCAAGCAGAAGTCACAACAATTGGTCTCCATTCACCTGGGGTAAAAGAGGAAGAAAGAGAGTCCTGCATAGGGGGAGGATGAATTAAGTGTAACTGAGTGTCTCCATGAACAACTGCCTTGAGATCAGAACCCAGTGATGACTTAACATTTTGATCCAAGGTTTAGCTACCATGACTAAACATTTTGATCCAATATTCTATAGAAGAATCATGATCAAAAGGGGTGGGATTAGAGCAAAATTTCAAGTTGTTATAGATGCCAGATTTTCTGGGGCCATGGAAGCTATGTAAACCATTCAAACAATTGCTCTGTGATAGCCAAAAACATCCCCTGACATCTTCTTAAAACTAAACAGTCGTTTCGCTTGGCTGGTAAGGGGGTGGAGGTGGGGAGAAAGAGTCTTGAGTATTAACTTTTTTCTTTCTTTAAGATCTAGATGACATAAAATTGACAACAGCAACTCAAAATATTAGACAGAAAACTTAAGAGGGCTGTGGGTTTGTGATCATGGAGGAGTAACGACTGGGAAAGCAGGGTGAAAAGGCTACACAACCCTGATGTCTCTGAGTTGTAGAAACTGTTGAATTGATACATGTAACAAAATAAAGTCTTTAAGAAATAATACTAGCCTCCTTCTAAATTAGGTTCTCTTCACAAGGGGATGATTTTCTATCAGTGCTTTCTCATCCCATGGGTTCTCCCTTTTACTCCTTTCATTCAGAAACTATTTATTGAGCGACCAACCACTGGTTAGGTGCCCCCAGGCCGAGATTTTTTTTTCCTAGATGAGGAAACCAGGCCCCTATTTTCCAGGAATAGCCCCTTATCGGTAATAATCTCCAGCCAGTACATTCCCAACAACAGCAGCAAATCTCAACTTCGAATCATCCCACATCCATCCAATGCTCCTTGAGCTTCTAGATCTCACTTGGAAGATCAGTTCTTGTAATGCCCCTCCCAGGCGACACACTTCTGAGCTCACCCTTTCAATGTCCTGAGATATCTGAGCTGGGTCGATGTTAAAGTGAGCATGCTATGGAAGTGGGCTATCTATAATATTCACAAAGCCAGGAAGGGGGGCAGGAGGAGACCAGGACACCTGCTTCCTAGTACAGAGCTTTCTACACAGAAAAGCTGGTGTTTTGGATATATACTTCTTAAACACATGCAAACAAATATTGAAACAGTCTGCACAAGGAGGTGGGGGGAATTAATTAATCTTTTCAAAGTCCAACCTTTCTAGCAATCAACAAGATGCAAATGAAAGTAACCTTCATTAACTTTTTAGGGTTTTTTTTGGGGGGGGGGTGTTAATCCCCTTTGGCTTTATAAAAATGATTTCAGTAAAATCCATCCCCGAAGTTGTGGTGAAACTGGAATACTCATTCATACTCTGCTGGTAAACCAATATGACAATTCTTAGAAAAGGCAAAAAAAAAAAAAATTAAGTGTTTATGATTTATAGCCTAGTAATTTCATCCCAATGAAAAAAACACTAAGGAAACAGAAAAGTCGTTGAACCAGAAAAAAAAAAAAAAAGGCACCATAAATATTGTTTCTCAAAACAATATTTACAAAAAGCAAAATTTTGGAAACATCCTAAGCACCACAACAGAGAATAGTTGGGTACATTGTTATACATTTAATGGAATATTACTCATTCATTAAATAATTATAAAAATATAGACTCACCATATGGTTCAGAAGTTACCATATGATTCAGAAATTCTCTTCCTATGTATATCCCCAAGGTAGAGACATTTGTATACCAATGTTCTTTTGCAACACTGCTCCACAATGACCAAAATGGGGAAGTCATTTAAATGTACATCAACAAATGAATGGGTAAATCAAACATGATGCATGCACACAATGGAATTACACTGCATTATAAAATAGATATGAAGCCCTAAGACATGCTACAGCATGGATGAACCTTGAAAACATTGTTGTTGTTGTTAAGTGTTGTTGAGCGATTCCGACCCATAGTGACCCTGTACAGGGTTTCCAAGGAGCAGCTGGTGAGCTTGAACCACCGACCTTGCAGTTCAAACAACTTTGCAGTCTGATGCATTAGCCCACAGAGCCACACCATTATGTCGATTAAAATCAGTCAGTCACAAGGGGACAAACTGTGTCTATCCATCCCACTTATATAAAATATCTAAAATAAGCAAGTATACAGAGACCAAAGTTTATTAGTGATTACCAAGAAGGAAGGATAGGAAGTAGACTCATTATTTAGGAAACACACAGGAATAACTGAATACATGATAAATGTAATTAATGTAACTGAATCACACACATGGAAGAATGTTGAAATGGCTAATGTTTTGTTACCTAGATATTTACCACAATAAAAATCTACCTCTCCCTCATATTCTTCCCCGCTTCTATGGGCTTCCAGAGGCATCCTTCTAATACACACATCCAAAAAGCCACTCCTCTGCCTAGGACTCTTGGTGGGGCAGGGATACTCCTCATCATCTGGAAAATAGTACTACAACTACCTTTGAATGTTATCAAGGGTTTTCAGACATTGATTCTTTGAATCCTTGTGGAAACCTCGTGAAGAAGATCCTATTTTGGTACCCATTCGACAGTGAGAAACTGAGGCATAGAGCAGTAAAGGCACTTGGCCAGGGTCACAAAAATCCATTGGTGCTCAAGACCCTTCAGTTTGGCTCAGACAAACTTCTCCAGGTTAGCTTTTAGCTTCTCTCCACTTCATAAAAAAAGAAATTGCCATCCAGTTGATTTCTACTCCTGGTGACCCCTTGTGTAGGATTTTCAAGGCTGAGATCTTTCAGAAGTAGACCTCCAGAACCTTCTTCTAAGGCATCTCTGTGCGGATTCGCATTTCCAACTTTTCAGCTGCTGCGTGTTTAACTGTTTTGCGCCACCCTGGAACACTCCTACCTCTGCTCCAGACATGACACACTTTCTCACCCCTTCATGTTTTTGCTCATGCTGGTCCGTCCACTTGAAACCTATTTCTCATCTTACCTGCCCCCAGGCCACTTCCTCTCGGTTGCTTTCCTGGCACTGCCCTCCCCATAACCATCTTCCCAGATAGAAAGCTGGTTTCTGCCATTGTCTGTGCCTCAATTCTAGAACTGAGTTCAACATGTCATAATAGTAATGAGTAGGTCACGTACCCATCTGCCCCAGGAAACTGTGGTTCTTGGAGTAGTGGGACGGAGCTACCCACCTATATATGTGCGGGTCTGTTCATATGCCCCTCAATGCCCAGGCCATGGCTATAAACTAGTGACAGGCCCACTGCAGAGAGGAACACATACAGTGGTCAGGGAATTGGCTGGACCCCAAGGGGACTTCTAACCTACAGCCGCCTAGGAACATGGCCACATGGGAACCAAGCAGAGAAGGTCTGGTAGTTCACAAAGGCCTACATAGAACAGACCTGGCCAGGACTGACTGTGTGTGCCTTCCACCGGCTTCAGGCGGTTTGTGAACCCCCTGACACATGTGAAAGTGCTTTGAAGAGCCAAGGGGAAGTCCCGGGGCCCCATGTGAGGTGCTGTCGCAGGCTGTGTTGTGGGATTCACAGGGGACCAGAGGCCTCTTCTCTGCCCTTGAGAGCAAGCTATGAAAGCCACGACCATGGATTGCCGGAGGCAGGAAGGCACAATGGACACTCAAACCTCTCCACACCATCTCCTCAGAGGATGAGAGAGGGTGGTGGGTCACAGGAAGCCCTCCAAAGGGAACCAGGAACCTGTGTCACCAAGAGGATGGTGAACAGTGCTTATGGTCCCAGACACATGATCCCAACTAGATGAAGGAAATTCTGGGACTTCCCCGGCCCCAATTGTCCCGAAATTACCATCTACCAAAAAAGGAATTATCTCTACCACGGTGACCACAGCCTGGTTCTTTCTTCTCTGATCCCCGGGGTCCCTTTCTGGGTCCCTTTCTTGGGTGCCTGGGTAGAAAGAAGACTCTCCACTAGAAGGAGGGGGGACTTTTCTGGCTCACCACAGCTGATCCCAGGGAGTGAGATCCACAAGTTGGGCAGCTTCCAACTCAAGCC